CCCCCCACAAACACACACACACCCACAAGTATATTTGTAGAAAGATTTACACAAAGTCCATTGTTAAGTCAGAATGTGTAAGTATTTGATGCAGGTCATTGAGTAGACCTACGCATTTAAGAATGAAAATCTGGATGCATTTAGGGTAAAAAGATAAAGATAGGTATGTCGTTATTCTTCGGTAACGTCATACATACATTGTAACTTCTGTGAAATATTGCTTACGAACCTTAGGTGACGTAGTTAATACATATACCCTAGGATTTTCTATCCCAGACATACCTGACCTGGGAAAGGCAAACAAGAAGATGTCATCATTTCTCACCGGAAGGGTCGCAAATGCATCGACTCTCCCTATAATAGACGGTACATTAGAAAGACCTATCAGTGTATCCATGTTCTTCACCGTCATTTCGTCACCATTCCCGTCTACAGTTCGAACTACGGACGCTGCTTCAGGGTCGTATTTAGACTCCAGATTGGCCATAATGGTCGGGTTGAATAGCGGTGATAAGGTTTGGTGTTATTTGGACCTCAAAGGTCGATTATACTATTATATAATCTGCCCTACTTTAACTGGACATGTGTGCCGTAACTAGAATGTTTCAAGACCAGTCCGCCGTAAGCCTGCTCAGACTATTTGATTAGGTTTTGAAATAGGTGTACATGTATTGATAATTCATTGATATATGCTTGCATAGATGTACCAGTACGTAATTTTGTGGCCGACTAGCACTCTTGTAAATTTAATAACTTTTGATTGGCCTGCTTGATTTTCAGAAAATAAAATGTTTTGGAAAGTTCATGAATTGCTCTATCAGATAAAATCAATTTGGCTGATATTAATATTACTTCCAAATTTGACCTGACCTCCCTGCAGTTCATTTGTGAGTTCCCGTATTTTCACCATGGTAGATACTTGACAACAAAAGGGGCGTTTTTTATAGTGANAAGAAGATTTGTGCATTTATTGTCTTTATTGGAAATATGATTAGCTTTGCAATATATTTAGACATGAAATATGACTTTGGGTCTTTTTCTTTTTGACTTTTCAGTAGTGTCCTTTTCAGCATTTCTGTACAAGGTTTACAACAAATTATTTACAAGAAAAAATGTTTTTTAATGATTGATATTGTTCTGTAAAATTTTGTTAGACAATTTGTGTTTTTATTTTTGCTGTTTCACAAGTTTTCATTTATTTATTTATTTTTTAGATTTTTTAATCTGCTTGTATTAAAAATCTCTGTGTGTGTGTGCAATTTATCACGAACTTAGTAAATGGAGTTAGGAAATTGGTAACTCCCTATATATAATGTTTTAATTGAAATTGTTATATAAAGAATATTAAGTAATATGCCAGTATGTAAAATCTTGGTAACAACGTGCATTGGCATTTCATAGGCCGATTGATCTAAGGTAATATGCACAAAATTTATGTATTTACTCATCATCTTTTGATACAAATATATCCAAGTATGTACACTGGTTGAATATTCGCATAATTGTTTTTATACATTTTCCAATACCTGTACTTTCAGGCATTTTGCTAGACTTGTAACCTTACTAGAAAAATATAATGCTTGGGTACTGAACTGAAATACCATTTCTTTCTAGTAATTTTAAGGTGGTCAGTTCTGTTTCTTTATCGTACTGCTTTGTGGAAAATGAAAATAAACTACAAATTCCATAAACATTCAATTGTCATATTTTCTTGTAAGATATGTCTTTTGTGATATTGCATCTCTAAAGAGATTTCCCCTTAAATTTTTTGGCACGTCATTCAACTTTAATTTCCACGATAGTCGTACATATCTTTAACTCGCTGCGCCTTCTATGTGGAAATACGGTGCTCTCGTCTAGGGTCGTCTCTTCACGTCTCGGTGTGACAGTGTAGTCCGGGGTCCCATGTGATAAGTATTGGTTAGGGTTCGTATATGGGACGAATGTCACCTGCACAAAGTAATGGGGAACTGACTACTGTTCCTAGCGTACTACCATTCCTGTCTCACCAGCATTGCTATTCGTCCTAGAAAATTATTACATTAACCACATCCCCGCAGCCCTCCCCTCTCCATTTTTTTTAATGATGATTTGAAAAATGTGTCACTTTTGGGTCCATGCATATAATTCACCAGTATGGAGCACAGGTGCAAGGATATAAAGGTGCAGAAGAAAGAAATTGCGGGGGCGTAACGGTGCGGGGACGTTGAGGGATGGAACCTTATCTATTGGCAGAACTTTATCTATGAGCAGTGTTCAGCAAAAATATTACCACAGAGCGGAATGTCGAAACTCAAACACTTGGTGTTGGAAGTGGTATTCATTTCCACTCGTATCTGTTACCTATATTCTGCAGACCTGAGTGCATCATTGCGCACTGATAAACTGCATTAAAGCGTTCGTTTTGCGATACAGTAAAATAATTCTTCCAGTCCCCAATCTGCCCTGTAATTGAAAATAGACTATTTTATTTTTTTAAGTATACAGGGCTAAAAATTTTACGTTTATGTGTGGGTTTCAAAAAATACTTTTAAAAACTTTATTCTATCATCAAATGATTCTTATAATATATTTGAAAATATTGTGTAGACTTTTATCCAGTATGTTATTTTAAAAATTCATGCTGAATTATCCAAACCATCAATACTTTCTGAATTTTAAACTCAATTCATTTTTATATATTCATTTGACAAACCCTTTCTGTACATCCCCGGGGTGCCCGCTTTCCAGACGTCGCCCTCGTCAGTGTTGAACTGCAAGTCAAATCCCTCAACGCGTTTCTTGGTCTTCATGGAGTGGAAGGTTGTTGCCTCTGCGATCTTTTGGTATGTGGCGCCATCTTTGGGGTTACCTATGTGCTCAGCGATTCTCTGGACTTGACTCACGGGTTCCTATAAAAATATCGTCAATAATATCCGGAAAAGGTTCCAGTTGTGACTGATCATGAGCAATGTGTTTGGTAAGACAAACGCAGCCATAAGCTAGACATCAACACATTCAACTGTTACATTATGGAGATTATTTGGAAACGTTTGTTTACAGTATTTACCCACTTATTTGATTACAGTATTTAAACTCATAGGTCATTGACCTCATGGGTAACTGATCTTAGGTCATTGGCATGGGGGTCACATGTACTGGCACGGTACAAGTTTTTTGCTATGGTGTCTTCAACTGTTTTCCATGAGCAATTGTCATTATTTCTTTCTGCACGGAGACAGTTTGAAGACTACATTGGAGATTGGGGTAATAAGTCATTTGCATCACGGCTGCAAACACAAATTAGGTTTAAAAAAAATGCACGCTAAACTATAACCTTACGGCATATATAAAACTTGCAGTTATCTTGTCGACGTATTTTCTTCAAACGTATTTTATCCCCATGGACCACTACTCGTACTAAATAATGCGTTTTAATTTTATTGTTAAGGATAATCGAAATACATTTTGCCATCACAAACACCAGTAAAAAATAACCAGTAAAAGTACGTCAGGTTTTCATGTTTAAAATAAAAAGCATTTTCATTTTGTAGGGTAATACTGTTATTGTCAGATGAGGCTAGTGTAAAGGTAGTCAAAGGTAATTCGGCCGCCCCGCTGCCGAACCTCTTCTAAAGACACCATGACATTTTAATTTAAAATGAAGAAGTCGTAGTTTCTGAATGTGAACTGTCCTTAAGCGTGTTGTTATTTTCGAAAAGCAAAAATTAACACGGTTACACGATGCAGTCAATTGTTTACCTCGACAATATCCTCGTAGTAAACATTCAAGATATTTGGATGGTTCTCTGACAACTTCCACCACGGTAACACTATACCAAACCAATCACTGTAATCTGTAATTTATCATATGCAATAATCCAACAAAGCTGCAATTTTCATTATGTGCACTCTAAGGATAAAACATGTTGCTGATTTGACTCAAGATTTTTTTTTTTTTTTTTTTTTTTTGTGGCAATTTTTGTGAAATTTAAATAAACAACCACTCCATGTTGACTCGAGACTAATTTATAAGTAAATACATGTTCTCAGCATACGTTCATCCATCTATACCGTAGTCTACATACCAAGAATTTTTTGATTTTGGTAGCCCATTATCATTTCAAAGTAACCATCCCACTTCCCATCGTATTCGAACAGTTTCATGCCGTAAGCCAGATTATAGTAGGATACGTATGCGTCCTTGGGATTGCGGCTCACGTGAACGATCTTGTTGTGCTGAAAGCAAGAGAAAGAAAATATTCATATCACCGACAAATGTCATCATATCGATATGAAAATATCCTCGCCTTACAAGACAAGGGAGGATGGCTTGATTTTTCACCCAATCTTCACTAATGGCGGATCCAGGGGGACGTGCAGCTGGCACGTATCCTCCCCATCCCTACTTAGCTTTGGAAGTTTCCCTCTCCGCCCACTCCAACCTCCCAGCTCCCACCACAAAAAAAGGTAGACAAAACCAAGACAAAACCAAGTGATTTTCCCTGTCAACTGTTTGATAGATGCAAGATATGGAATGAATTTCTTATACCTGTCGTATATCAAATTCCTGGATCAGACAATGATAATTTAGGATATTGTAAGTTTTTTAAAATTATTTTTGATTAACCCGTTTGTTGCTGTAAAATTTAGAAATTTAGTTTAAAAACGCCTTAATGAATGAAAACAAGGCAGCAAAGCTGTCAAATGTACAGACAAAAAACAGAAAAAAAAAGATGCAAAATAGGTCATTTTGTCAATTTTGATGCAATAATGAATGCTTGTAATAGCACAGTCAGTCAACACTGATTTTTAATCATGCACAACAGGTAACATGGTCAATAACAGGAGCAGATCCAGAGATATTTTCTGACAGTATTCCAAAGTATCTTTGTTGATCCATCCTCCATTTTGATGGTCTTCCAACAGAAACCCGTTAATATAAACTTAAAAATCCGACTGTCTTCCAGGAGACCCAGAAGACGGTCTCAATCCACCCTTTCAATAAGATTACAGTGTCAGGACCATGAGAGTTAAAATTCACATGATGAAAGTCCCAATATATGAAAAATGATGACAGTGCATAAAATAATATTACAGCGTGTTTAAAGACATAAATACCAATACAGCTGCTTATGTGGAAATACTGAAAATTTGCAGAGCCTCAGGTGG